CGTCAATCAGTATGAACAAAGCAAATAGACTATATGAACAAGGAAACCCACTTTTTTCCTGGTCACTTAAGAGCAGGACAGTGAGTTAGAGCCTAATCTGGAAATGGTACAGTATAACCACCAATTTTATTTATTTTCCTGGTATCAATACACCACCCCACCACACCCATATATTGGGGTATAGAACAGTGACTGATGGCTCAGGGAGATGGATGAAGCTGGTTGATAATCTGCTGACATATTGTTTCTTTTCCCTTACAGATGGCTATTGAAAAAAGTAGTTCCATTATAGTCCTTAATGCAATTACTTATGTGGATATTGTTTACCTGAATAAAGACTACTTATGTGCCTACTTTGAAAGACTAGGTCACTATAGTATTTCATATGGGACATCTTCCTGATTATACCGTAGATGACAAAAAGGCCAAATTTTGTCTAATATTCGATGTGATTTGGCTTGAAACTTGTGGCTAAGAGCAATTTCCATTCCTCTGCTTATTGCTGATCTGTTGCTTCTTGTTTCAACTAAAGCTTTGTTTGTGTGAAGAGCTTTAAAAAATACACAGATACAGGCAAACAAAGCTTTGCACACTTTACGTTGTCTCTCTGACCTCAGAGGAATTACCTGGAATGGAATAAAATAAGATACATTATTCCATATAAGAGTGCAGAGCTGCAGTGCTTGTAAGCCGATATAGGAACTGGTTTCCGCAGAAGGAGGTAATCCCGTATCTGTGGCTGCCCGCTCCTGCTGCTTTTCTGTTGCTGAAACTGCTTTTCATTGGTCTCTGCAACCAGTTGTAGGAGCTAAACTGGTAGAGAACTCAAGCAAAAAAAGGGGAAATTTTTCTGCTGGTCTAAATCCCTGGCTTATGATTGTCCCCATCAAATGACAGTGTTCATGCAAGCAAGGGATGAAAGATTGTGGGAAAAGTGACAAGGGATCTTCTTTTTCTTCCAGTAGCTGTAAGTCATTAGATGGGTTTAGCTGTATCACCCAGTTGTGCCAGTATCTTTGCAGAGAGCACATAATAGAGTCTTTCTGATGGTTTTTTTTTCACTGTTTGTATGTGACTACTGCAATGATGGGGAACCTGAGGACAGAAACAGATGATGACTCTATTTCATCTATGGCAACATGATTTCTTCCTCTTTGTTAATGGCCAGTGCATGTTTTAATGCATGACCTGTGCAACTTTCAGGAAAGAAAAGGTTCAAATGATCGAGCAGATAGATGTCAGAATTGAAAATGAATGTTTAAGTGGTGAGGCGAGGAAATGGTGATCATAACGAACAATGGAATTCAGAAGACTTTCCTTGATTTAATGCTGGGTTTGCTTATAACATTTCATCTATGCTAAATACTGTATATTTATATTTGTGAGTTGCAAAATAACAGTCTTGAACAGTAACTTGCCTTCTTGCCTGGAGCAAACTTCCCACAGAAGTATGGAAGGGCCATGACTTAGTACCAGATGCACTGTGCAAATATAACTGAAATTTCATTCACCTGAAGGAAAGAAATTTAAAGTTGCCATGAAGGAACAAGAACAAGTAGAATTTACATATATTTAAAGGTCTTTGCTGTGTATGTTTAAACATACTCTTTAAGTGCGTTTGATTTTACATAAAGTGAGGAATAATAATTACTTAGCTTTACTTTTTCCCAGGACCATGATTATGAACACTTAAGTTTTTGGTATACCATTATCATACTGATTTATGAGATAGCTATTGACGATTTCC